CTTGGTGGGACGACCTGGCTTGAGTATAACAAAGTATGGATCACTAGTAAGGAGGAGCTTACAGTGCAATTGGGAGACAGTAGAACAAGAAAGGCCAAGCCTTTTGGCACACTCAGAGTGAGACATGCTAGCATGCTTGTAGTCCAATAGACACACTTTACAAGTGGGTGTAGTGTAGTGCATAGAGTAGAATAGAGGTAATACTAAAGCCCAGGGTGCAAAAGGAGGCACAGGTGTCAAAATAATGAGCACTGGGGCAGCCTTTTTAAAGTGTATGTGCTGCACACATATGTAATACAACAGCATGTTTTTTTTAGATCTGTCTGTCTCGTATAATTACTGCACATTTTGCAGTCTTTTTTACATACATATATTTGCAGTATATCACACTTAATTTACATGTAATTTATATGGGCATAAGTGTTGTGTGGAATGATGTGTAGAGGCAAAATGAAAAACACATGGTGTGTTGCAATACTTTTGACACGCACTGTATATATGATCAATATGACTCCATTGTCACATTCCACCCACTGTTTATCTAGTCGAGATAAAGACGTAGGCTCTTTACCTTTCCTGTTGGGTCACTTATTATTTACCCCCGTCTTTAGTTTGTTGTTCCCCCACTTTCTTCCAACCCCTGTCTTCATCAAGAACAGATACAGATGCTGATTTACTTATGCTGATAGTACGCGAATTCCTTTTTTTCTTAGTTCCAGGTTCGGCGTTATCAGTGCTGGACTTGCTATTCTTTCTCGCGTTTTCTTGTGCTTCTATCCTAGCAGCTCTCGTTTCCTCGTCCGTGCTAGACTCATCTTTCTCTGGTTCCTCGAAGATCGCACCACTCAAGACGGCCTTAAGATCAATGTTTTTGCCATCTGCCATGTTGTGTAGTTCAGACTTGAGATTGCTTGATGGATAGAAGGAAGTCCGGTGTGTGCTTGAAGATTTAAAAAAGTCGATTGGGGACAGTTTGGGAGTGCAATCGGCTCTTTCTTATACACTTCCGTGATTCACATTGTTGTACACTTCCTGACGCACGAACAGTCACCAGAACGCCACAAGTTCAAAGTTCACTTCCGTTACAAGTTAGTAGCCATCAATTGTCCATCATAGTAGCGGCAACTGGCAATTATCTTTGCTTTTAATAATAACCCATACTCGTTCAGTTGTAATTAAGACGTAACAGAAAGAGATATAGGTGCATTGGAAGGTATCTTGGTAACTATTTTGATACTAGTCACCAACTAAACGCTCTCGAAATGTGAAAGTACCGACTGCTTTGAGAAGCGAATATTGGATGTGAGCAAAGCACACACTTGATAGCATGCAGCATCTGCATCTAGCCAAGTTTTCATCTACTTTGCGAAGTATACATTGGGGGAAAAAGTAAGTTTCCTAATGGACCTTTTGTTCGAGCTCTAAACCTAGTTCTCGCCTCGCTGCAGCTTGTCGAGTGCCCTTGCACCCTGTTCAACCCATTCCTCACGAGTGACCCAGAACTCCTGGCGATTTTTCATGATATCTGCAAGGACCGCACCGCCAAGGAAGACCATGTGTTTCCGACGTGGGGGATCTTCGATTCGGATCTTAAATTTCTGTTTGTGCGAACAAACCATTTTTGTTAGCATTTGGTTGAGTGTGACAGAAACACAAATGCGAATAAGGCAGGTATCGAAGATAAATAAGGCGATGGGGGGACTTGGTACTCACGTTCAGCCTAGATGGGTCGCCCGCGAGTACACGCGTTAAGTAGAGCTGCTTCATCTCCTTTTCCAGCCTACTGGGTAGACCTGGATACATGCTTGAACCACCCGACAGTACGATATGTTTGTACAACTCCGAGCGTACATCAACTGCCGCGGCCTGAATTGTCTGGAAGAGCATTTCTACCGGAGAAAGCAAAGTTATGACATTTGATGTAGCAAAGTGTGTTGTTGAGAAAACATACCGGCAACACCCGGCTGCTCGACATCGACAAGGTGGGGTTGGAACATGCATTCAGGTGCCTCAAAACGTTCTTGTCCGACTTTTATTAGGCGCCCATCTGGTAACTGGAAGGCATTGATTGTAAGGACTAGATTCAGAAAGATAAACCTTATTAGATAGGTCTCACAGTGTAATTTTCTACCAGAACCGTGGTCTCCTCTGCTAGCCGCATATCAAGATCAAGATCATAGCTCACATAGCAGAACTTCTCTTTGATCTGCCGTACGGTCTCGAAATCAGCTGTCCTGTTGAACGCATATCCACGCATGAGGAGTAACTTGATAAGATATCTCGTCACATCACGTCCAGCGATATCAAGACGTCGTGTCAGATGCGGGAGCGCAAAGCCATCATAGACAGGAACGACATGCGTAACACCATCACCGGAGTCGACGACCACACCCGTAGTGAGACCCTGCGCGTACAACGTGAGTACGGCCTGGATTGCGACGTAAACGCCCTCGAAGCCGTACTCGTCGAACATAACTTCGCACATCCTTTGTCTGTTCGCCTTTGGATTCATAGGTGGTTCCGTCAATAATATCTTACGTCCACGTGGGTCGACGCGCAGTTTCGTTGAGAACGTGTAGTCCCATAAGTGCCGCATATCTTCCCAGTTTCGTATAATACCATGTTCCATTGGCTGTGAGATTTGGAGATACGTCCGTGCTTCTGCTGCCTCATCCCCAACCATAATGTCTTTGATCACTGCATCACCGACGCGTTCTTCCGCACGCAATATCGGCCGGCCGACAATGGATGGGAAGACTAGCTCCGCAGTCAGTATGCATACTTCACACTATACGATTCAAACGTAGAACTTTGCGCACCATGTTCCGGGAAATTAGATCCAGCATAACCTACTTTGACGAACTTGAAACCAAAAGGATGTTCATCAGCATGATGGCATACACCACAGTACCAACCGTGCAGATCAAGAAGATATGGATACTTACCCCAGTACCATTGTCAACTACAATCGGTGGCTGCGAGTCCATAACAGATGCTGATAATGGTCGAGCTGGATACGGATTAACCTTTGGTATCCGTGAAGTGTTTGAGTTGCTTGTTATTGTTGGGCAGCGTAGCGAATGTGCTGCAACGCATGTGTGAAGCTGCGCTTCACGCACGTGACAAGAAGATCACTGCGATGTAATACTAATAGGGTCTGCAGCGGATAAGGCTTTCTGTGGTGTCGTACCGCGGTTGACAAATTCCCACGGATACCACATCCGCGGATAACTTTCTCACGGTATCCGCGGTTTTTGCACATCCGTCATACTGTCGCGGCGCCCCATGTGGGCCATTTAAGGCCATTTCTCATATTATTGACTACTACAACTGTTTTACAACATAAAAAATATATAATTATATATTACAACATCTTATCTAAAAAACGCTCGTTTTATTTTTGTAAAAAATTGAAAAATAAATATTTCATTGATTTTATAAAATGACAATCCAAAAGTTGTGCTTCGACGCGTCAGACCCACATGTGGGCCACCCGTGGGAAAGAAATTTGCCCACTGTATCTAAGTGCATATTCTCAGTACACAAACTCAGCTTCATTTCAATCTAGACTTAATTGGATAGGAAACAAAGGTAATTCTACTCTATTAGTTATATAAAGTTTATTTACTAATAAAATTTGTGTTTTTATCTACAGGAACAGGCTTATTATAGTAACTTAGGATTATTTACTTATATTCTACTATTTCCCCCCTACTCTCTCCACTCTCACACTATCTCTATGTTTCTAGTATGCTAGTACTCATATACAGTATATTTTCTTCCTTTCCTGAGATTGAGTTGTTGAGTTTGTTTAATAATCTCTCTCTTTATTTAGTTATAAGTATTCTACTATTTTACATTAATACTAA